TAAACACACCCTTGTACACATGCATCATGTCCTCGAATTGAAGCAATATGAACGGGTGTCCATCCTTTAGGCATTTGAGCATCTACATCCGCTGATTGCCATAACAGCCAATGCATACACTTTTTAAGATAATGAACAAAATTGATAACAATTGTACAAAATCTTAATACTCACTTCTAAGCTTCCAGCATGATTTGAAGAATGTTTATTCAAATGAGATCTTATTTCGATTTACTAAATTATCCTGCGAATCTGTTTAATATCCACATTAAAAACTATTTCGATCACCGAATTTAAATCAGCAGAAAATAAAAATATCGAAAAACAATATGAAACGTCAAAAGCTGTTTGTAGGATTTGCTGATAAATGAAAAAAATTTTTACAAAATGTTTTCTAACAATATAATTGATATTCGTTGAATGGAAGATTTAGTTTCTTACATAAAATTGTATTTCCCTTACATCAATGCAGTTCTTTTTATTAAGATATAACAAGAAAAAAAATAAAAAATAAAATACAAATATCAAATGTAACATCGATGAAAAGAAGCTTTCTCTGCCTCCAGACTAGAGATCATCTTTTGTACTTGTTTAGTGAATTCGAATTCTTTGGTAAATTTAAACTTTTTAGCTTTTTCAATGAGCAGATATTGTTCATCAACTGTTTTATGACGAATATGACAAAGACTATTTCTATCGTTTCGCAAAAATCGAATTTCAGTTAAGCTGAGTTTTATCTCTTTTTGTATTGCTTCAAGAAACTTAACTAATGGTTCATAAAGTTGTTCTTCATCAACTGGTTTGCCAGCTTGCAATCCTTTAAGTCGACAATTATCCATTTCACATTCAATTTCAGATAATTTGTTATAAAAATGATCCCATGATGAATCACCAAATACTCGAAGTAGCGCCGGCTTGATTATATATTCGATATATAAAGATGAAATTTCATTTGAAATAATTAATGCACTATTAATATCTGTTTGTTCTTTCACTTTTACCATTTCTACTTTCATCTTCATCATTTCTTCTTCAACTTGACCTAATCGTCTAACTGTTGAATAAAACACAATAGAATAATGATAAACATAACGACCGATATCTTTAACAACTTGTTGAAATTTATTATTATCATTTGTTGGCGTATTTGCTAATGTTGATAAACAATCTTTGATTTTTTCTAAAACCATTCTGTTGGTAGTGTTGTGGTAAAGTACCCATATTTTCTTTTTCCAAAACAGCTTTCATCAATTTCTACTACATAACTTGGACCTAATTTTTTTTTTAATAATTCTTTAAAAACTTATCGGAATTTACCTCCGATTTTTTGTGGATTATGTCACGGCAAAAGTTCCTCCAATCAATAATTGTATGACCTGAGCCTATTTCCAATTCATGT